ACTTGCGACCTCTTTTTGCCTGAGAAATTTTTACATGACCCCAGGTAATATATAAAAAGATATATTATATATAAGATGTAGAGCATCCTCAATGTTTTTCAGAGTTGATCAATATTTTGATTTTATAATCATCAATGCTGAGAATACCATTGAACATAAATACATAGTACAGAATGGCAGAGGTATGTTTAGGGCCATTTCAGAAATTGTTGGAAATTCTGTCCTAATCCCAAGCAAAAATTTATTTAACAGTTTTGTATGTACAGTAAAAACTCTGCAATTCATAGCATACGATAGCCTTGAATCTGAGCCAAGGTGTTTCTGGCAGCGTTCGTTGGCGTTGCATAGCGTGATGACGTGCACGGTGCAAAGTGAACATGTTTGTTCAGAACCAAGGCTGCAGTAAAGTTGTATGATGCAACACGGGAAAGTGCTTCCAGGAACACCTCAGATTCATTACATATTTGATTTTGAATTAATTTTTGGTCATTGCGTGTTCAGAAACCTTGTACTGTTGCCCCATTTTTCGTGATCCCCACGTTCAGTTACACAACCCTACATGGAGTCTCAACCCACAGTTTAAGAAGCACTGAACTAGAGGAAATCATAGAGATCATTTAGTCTGAACTACTCATTTTGCAGATGAAAAAGCTGAGACTCAGGAAAAATTACTCTTAGTTGATTTGCACAGGCTCATATAGATGCTCTGTGGCAGAGTGAAAATTAAATTCTAGGTCTCTGTGCTCAAGTCCAATTCCTTTTCTTAAAAAAATTGAACTATCTGGTAGTTTTAGTCCTATGCAGAAAGGGAATACTATGTAATAGTCAAAGGATGATTAGAATCGTTTGAGAGTTTAGCATGTAACTTTCCCTTTTTGGTACATAGCTATTTTACAATTCACATCCCCATGCAAAGTGAGCTATTTTCTTTATGGTATTGTTTGTTGTTCAGTCATTTTCAGTCCAACTTTTCATGAACCCATTTGGGGTTTTCTTGGCTAAGATACTGAAGTGTTTTGCCATTTCCTTCTCCTGCTCATTTTATAGATGAGGAAACTGAGGCAAACTGAGTGATTTGCCCAGGGTTACACAACTAGTAACTGTCTGAGGCCAGATTGAACTCAGGAAAATCAATATTCTAAACTCCAGGCCTGGTCTCTATCCACTGTGCCACCTAGCTGCTTAGCTGCTTTTTATGGTAATTTCTCTTTCTGTGAGTTGCTCTTTCCCTCTCAGCCAGTCTGTTTCTGAAACTGGACCAATTGCCAATATCCTGCTGCTTGGATTCTCAGAAAAGGGGAGGTAACCCTTTCTTAAGTACAGGCTTGCCTAGAAGACTGTGTTCGTAAGAGCAGCATAGTTTGAGGAAAGGTAGATACCCCCTGGTCCTCTGAAGCTCAGAGTCATCCTGCTCCAGTGGTCTTTCTTCTGTGTCTATTTATCCCTGAGTTGGGAAGAATATGTATTAAGGTTATTATGGTAACAAGAATGTACCTGTTAGAATTCTGATTTAAATTAATTTTGCTTTGTTTGACTTTATCATTAAATTTGAAGCAGAAAGTTCGGGCACTCATATTGTGGGCAATTACATTTACATTTTCACTGAAATGACAGTATTTAGCACTATCTCCAGCAGTATTTTACATAAGCAAAAATCAGAATGTGATATTTCTTCTTATTCTGATATCAGAATGAAATAACTCTGTGACACAAATGCTTGCACAGCTCTGGGTAATGATATAGAAGTTTTGGTCTTGAAGATACTTAGGCATAGAACTAGAACCTTATAGATAACTACTGAGCTGTGGCAATAACAATTGATCATAGAATCAGAGAAAGGAGTATTACCATTTTCTCTTCTTTTCTGTCAGGCTTCCATGGGGAGTCTAGAGATGGAGTTTATACTTCTGGCTATGCCACAAAAAAACTCTCTGACTTTAGGCAAGTTACTTTGTTCAATAACAATTTATTTAGTGTCTTTTATATGTAAACCACCATGTTAGGTGCTGGAGGAAGAAGAAAGATAACTACAACATGATCTTCCTATTCCACAGAATTTTAGAACTGGAAGGAACAACTATCTAGCCCAACACAAAAGGAATTTCCACTGTGACATATAACCTTCTATCAGAAGACCTCCAGCGAGGGTAAACTCACCACATCCCAAGGCAGCTCATTGCGCTTTGGAATAGCTGTAATCATTAGGAAGTTTTTCCCAATATGGCTAAATTTTCCTCTTGCAACTTTCATCCACTGCTTCTGATTCTGTCTGCCTGCTGGGAACAAACAGAAGAAATCCAATCCCTCTTTCATATGACAGTATTTCAAATACTTAAAAGCAGCTATCATTGGGCATTATATGCTCCAGGCTAAACATTTCTAGTTCCTTTAACCTGTATTTATATGAAATGAGCCCTTCACCGTCCTGATGGCTTTTCTTGATATTTTCCAGGTTATTAATGTCCTTTATAAACTAAGCCTCCCAGAGTCTAGATAGGGTTTGACAAGTGAAGAGTATAAAGAAACTGTTACTTCCTTTTTCCTGGAAGCTTTGCCTCAAATCACAGCGCTAACTGTTATTCAGTTTGCAATACATTAAAATCTTGATATTTTTAAATATGATATTTATTGAATTAATGAGTATCTAATTCCTTCTGTACTATATTTAAGGAGTTGATTTTTTGAACCCAAGTATAAAACTTATACCTATGTTATCCAGGATGGTAGCTCTCCTTCCCAACTTTGTGTCATCTGTAAATTTGATGAGCATGTCTGTGCCTTTATTCAAGTCATCGTTAAAAAGTGTTAGTCTCCATAATGAATCAAAGTATATGAATAAATTATTCTCATAAGAAAAAATTGAAATGCTATAGGAATGAGTTTCAAATCCCTAGTGAGAAAAATATAAACCACAAAAGTTCTTAAGGTTATTACCTTATAACCTAGGAAATTGGCAAAAGCTGGGAAGTCACTATTGGAAGGGTTGTGGAAAGACAGGCACACTCCATTTGGTGGAGCTATGAATTGGTCCCAGTATTATGGAAGATAATTTGGAACTTTACCAATAAAGTGACTAAAATGTCCATACCTCCTGCCCTAGAGATCCCACTACTGGACAGTACTGAAAGGAGGTCAGTAATAAGTACAGGTCTTTACAAATTGAATTTAACCATCAATTATTCCTTTAGTCACACAATGCAACCAGTTCTAAATCCATCTAATTATATCATTGTCCAGTCCATATCTTTCCAGCTTTTGCCATAAGAATAGGAACAATATAAGGTACTTTATCAAATGTTTTCTAAAATCTACATAAACTTTTCTAGCACAGCCTGTAGCATCAGTTTAGTAACTGTTAGAAAAAGATGATCTGTTGCCAATATCTTGCATGATATGTTTTTGATAAAGTCATACTGACTTCATTATCCCTCAAATGATGTATTCTAGAATTTTACCAAAAATCAGCTCAAGCTCACTTGCTTACTACATTAGTTTTTATACTTGTTTGTCTTCCCTTTTTTGAAATTGTCATAATTGTCCTCGAATCCTATACTTCCTGTCCTTGTTTCCAGGATCTTTCATACATCACCATCAGTGGCTTAGCAATCATATCTGCCAGTTCCTTCATTAACTGAGAATAAAGTTTTCTGGTGACTTAACTCTGTCAAGGCCAAATAGGTGCCCTATCACTATCTCCTTATTTTGACCATCAGCATCCTACTAGCTATTTTTATTCTGTCATTTCCAGCACAAAGTCATTCCTCTTAGCAGAGAAAACAGTCAAGTTGAGATTGACAGGCTCTGCCTTCTTTCTGTTGCTGTCATCATTCCATCCACTCTCAAATAGTTGCCTTATCCCTTCTTTGATTTTTCTCTTTACCTCAATATCACTTTAAAAAAATTAACCTTAGCATCCCTTGCACGTCTATGTGCATTCTTAGCTTTAGCAGTTCTACTTGACCCTACTTTTAAAGACCCGTGCACTCCTATATTCATTATGTTACTTGCCCTTGCTCCTATTTTCTGTACCTTTTTTTATTTTTAAAAAGCTTTTATTGATGTCTTTTTTTGACATCATTATAGTTTTCCCCAGATTCCTGCCTACCCCTGGGGGACTTCATATAACAAAACAGTATTTTTTAAAGACAAAGAAAAAGAAAAGGAAGCAATCAGCACATTGAAAAAAATCCAAGAACTTGTGCAATGCTGTGGATCTCCCACCTCCACAAAGTGGAGAGGGTTTAGCCATTCCCATATTGATGGGCATCTACTTTTCTAATTTTTTGCTATTTTTGTACCTCTCTTTTATTGATTAATGAGTTCTCTCTGAATCTACATTATTCTCTTTAGATAACTCCCATCTTTCCTCCTCCCTGGAATTATTTCCCTTTGTGTCCTCAGAATTTCATTCTTGGGAATTTCTTATTCCTCTTGGACTTATATCCATGAGGTGCTACCTATCCTTCCTCTGAACTCTTTAAAATCAGATTTTCCAAAATCCAAGGAACATATCAGATTATACCCATGCTTTATTCTCTTTTATGACAAACTCCCCTCAGGGAGTCTGCAGCTTAGGAGAGTAATATGATAAATACATAAATATGCAATATTATACAATGACTATTTGAGAATATAAGAGCATAAGAGAGAGAAAAAATACTATATAAAGTAAGAGAAAGGAAAGATCACTTAACTGGTAGTATTGGGAAGACTTCCTGGATTATATGCGTTCATCACTGGACCCCTAATAAAAAAAAATCTTTAAAAAATAAGCACATTAGAATAGATGAACTCTAAGGCTCTCTCACCTGTTATATTCTATGGCTCCGATATCTGCTGTAGAGAGTTGGAACTCCCCAGAGATAGTAGACTACACAATATATTGCATCTTTCAGTAGTGCCAAATTATATTTAATATTCTATGTTTTGGCTGTGCTAGTCACTATTAAAGCTAATTTTTGCTCATATGTTTTTCCTCCTTCTTGATTTTACTCCTATAGGTGAATGATTGGCAGAACGACTGGGTAACATTCTATGCTAGGCAGCGTATTCAACCCCAGATAGACTTGGTGGAGAAGGAGTCTGGGGATAGAGAAGCAAGAGAACTTTGGTCTCAGCTGCAGGTAAGAGTTATGTACAGATTCTTTAAGTGCTGCCATTTTAGACAAATGTGTTCTCTGACAGTACCTGAGTTGAGATAAGATCTCTTTTTAGTTGTCTCCTTAATATAGAGAAAAGGATAAATCAAGCCTGCCTTTTGTGTCTGTTTCTCCAGAGTAAATGATTAGTTAAATCTAGCCTGATAGTTTTTTGCTAGAATCCCAAGCAGAGTTTCATGTCTCCCCATCATTTGAGTGATGCATAATAATTTTGCTTGAATACTATAAATTGCTTTTTTGAATGCATTCAATTTGTAATCCACAACTCCTTTGGGAAAAATTCAGCTTAATATAAAGAAAACTTTCTTTATAATTAGAGCTGCTCAGAGTTCTCCATCTCTGGAAATGTTCAGAGATCTAGGTGACCTCCTTTTGGGTATATTGTAGAAAGAATTTATGCTTCAGACAAAGATTGGACTCTGAGATCCAACTCTGAGATTCTATAATTACTTGAATTGGTGAAACTGGAAAGATGGCAATCACCAACATCTTTTTTTCCCCTTTCTTTCTTCAGCTGAAGATACCTAGCATGTTCCAAGACCTGGAAATTGTACCTGCCTTACTCCATGGAGATCTTTGGGGAGGAAATGTTGCAGAGGATATGTCTGGGCCAATTATTTTTGATCCAGCTTCCTTTTATGGCCACTCAGAGTTTGAGCTTGCCATAGCTGGAATGTTTGGGGGCTTTGGCAGCTCTTTTTACTCAGCTTACCACAGCAAAATCCCTAAAGCCCCAGGGTTTGAGAGGCGACTTCAGCTTTATCAGCTTTTTCATTATTTGAATCATTGGAATCATTTTGGATCAGGATATAGAGGATCTTCCCTGAATGTAATGAGGAGCCTCATAAAATGAATGCTCTCTCTTTTAGTGTTCTGACCTCAGCCCATTTTGGTGATTCAGACGTAGTATTATTTCTCTAAGGAGGTATGTAACATTATAGTCAAACATCTAGAGTCTAGGATTTCTTTTGTTCTGTCTTCTCTTCCCTTGAGCATCACCATATCCCCAAAGGGACTGGGTTTTGTTTTTTGATTTTAACTTTTTCCTGTAATTAGAGTAGCTCAGTATTGAGCTTCTTAATCCAGAACCCACAAACACATACAGTAGCATATTTACAAGCCATGAAAAATACCTCACAGCTTAGAGAAAAATTTATTTTAAAGTTGAATATTTTGCTAGATGCTAGATTAAGCTATGCTACAGGATAAAGAAACTGTGAAGTAATAGATGGCAGCATTTAGCCATCATGTTACCAAGAGAGAAAAGGAAAAGATAGTAATCACGTTTATTTGAAGTATGAATAAGAAAGTTTGATAATAAATAGATGCCCTTATTTCTTTCTTGATTACTTAAACACATTCCTTTCAGCTTTTGTAGTTCTTAGATGAACGCTCCTTGTAGTTTGAAGTAGGTTTTACTAACCTTGGCTAGCTATCTTCCTATTACAGAACACAAGAAGTGGTTAGTTCCACTTTTTAATTGGTATGGCCTAAATCTAGAAATGAACATCTTTAATTAGAAGCTTCATAACATTCAGAATCACTGAATCTAATAAGAAGAGGTACAGCAGCCTCTTGTGTTTTCTAATAATAGTGTTCTGTTTTTTCCCCTGGAAAGATCTAGAATCTCTTTACTGATCCAAGAACTATTTTTCAAATATTAGAAATCAAGTGTTTCCATTTTGATGGCAGAAATGTAAATTCATGAACCAAGGAGCATAAAGGAGATGGAACTGTTTCTCAGGCTACTTACAGATCTGAAGTTATTTCAGAGTACTTTTGAAAGAATATGTTAATTTGTACTCTGTTGCCCTAAGATTTGCAGATCAGAAACGTTATCATAGTGGAATTACTGAGTTGGGTCTAGATTTTACCATGCAAAGGGGGTTTCCAGATTACCTAGACATGTTTCTTTTTTTCAGTTGCTTCCTTTGCTGTATCCTAAAATGAACTTTTAAATGCTTTAACATAGTCCTGGCTAAGTGAAGTAATTTATTTGCTTTTTTATTTGTTCCATCTTGTCCTCCCATTTTCCTAAGCCTGGTCAGTTATCTTATTTTCATAGAGTTTTGAAACAAATTTAAACTTCCTTCCTTTACTTAGTATTTCAGTGATGTGGTAAATTTAATGAATGGTGTTGATGCTTATCACCCTTTTGCCATGAGAATTTGAATGGTCTTTCAACTGTTTTCAGTGAGTGATATCTGACAATGTATTTACTTTTGCTATTTGTCTTATGATTTGGCTAAATAACAGCTGTAACGTTCTTGTACAACAATAAAATAGACAAAGGTTGTTTCTTAAAAGATCCATTTTGACCTTGTTGCTTTCTTGTTCAGATCATTTGTAATTGATTCTTTTCTTTTATTATCATTTTAATTTACATCTTTTGTTTTTACATCACTTTCATTTCCAAATATATCCCTTTCCCCCCTTCAAAATGGACCATCCCTTGTAACAAGGAGGGACAGAAAGTGTAAAAGTCAGTCAGAAAAGCCCCAAAAGTATTACAGACAGGTAAGAAATGAGAGTAGAGAAGAGGAATACAGATAAATAGTATAAAAGAATACAAATGAATAAAAGAAGTACTGTGTACTGTGAGGAAATGTACAAGCTAAAAACAGGTTCGGGAAGAGTTTAGGTAAATCTATTATTATATGCATAATGGATTGTAAAGGGACCCCACCCACTCACTTGCATCCACTCACACAACTTCATCTTTATTTTAGGTCCTTACTACCTTTTGCCTGTACTACTGCAATACCCTTCTAAATGATTTCCCTATCTCTAGCTTCTCTATTCTCCAATCCATTTTTTTGCATAGCTGCCAAATTGATATTCCTAAGATTCAAAACTAACCATGTCACCCCCTTGACAACTATGGGTAGGAGGTAAATTTTTAATCAAACAAAGGATAGAAGTAATTATAAAAGATAAAACAGACCATTTTGGGTACATGAAACTGATGAGCTTTCATATGAACAAAATTCATCCATCTATAAGAGAAGTTGACTGGGAGAAAGTTTTTGTATCAAATCCTTCTGATAAAGGTCTAATTTCTTAGCAATATTGACAACTAACAAATATATGACCAAAAGTCATTCCCTGATAGATGAGTGGTAAAAGAATGTGAACAAACAGCTCTCAAAAGAATTGCAAATTATTAGCAACCATGTGATAGTAGGGGCTAAATCATTAATAATAAATGAAATGTAAATTAAAGCAACTCTTAGGATTTACCTCTAACCCCACAAATTGGCAAATTCCCATGACAAAAATATGGGAATAGACAATGTTGGGGGAGGGTTTATAATAAGACAAACACATTAAAGCACTGTTGTTGGAATTATGAATTGATGCAACCATTCTGGAAAGCAATTTGGAGTTATGCAAACAAAATGATTATTATGTCCATACCTCTTTTTTTTTCTCCAAATGACTTGCACAGGGTCACACAGCTAGTAAGTGTCAAGTGTATAAGGCCACATTTTTAACTCAGGTCCTCCCGACTCTAGGGCTGGTACTCTATCCACTGTGCCACCTAGCTGCCCATGACCATACTGTTAGAAAAATCTGAAACAAAAATCTGCTACAGGATTGTGTGAAGGAAAGCTTTTATTACGCTTCTCGTGAGAAGTGGGCACACTGCACCTTAGCAGTACATGCGTGCTGGTACTGAAGTAGAGTCAACTTTTAAATGATGAGTAAAATATATATTCCTCCCATTTGAGCTGGGATTGGACCAGCTCATTTGGGTTACACTCTTCCTGAACTGCCCATCCCGTGTTCCTCCGTGTTCTGTTAATTCCTCCGACTTCATGCATCCCATGTTGAAAAACAGAGCCATCTCTACCCTCAGGGTGTGTCAGTTAACATTCAATAAGCTTTATTAAGCAGATGCAGTGGAGAAAAGCCTTTGCCTGGTCCTTGACCCCAACCTGTTGCAACCAGTTTAGCCTGCAGGACTCTGTCTTAAGGAACTAGGTGTTTTGTAAAATGTTTGGGGTACTTTCTGATTGGTTGAAGAACTATCTGCAAGATCTTGGAAGTCCTCCTCAGAATTCCTGTGTTCTGCTGTGGAAGCTTAACTTCTAAAACTCCCACAATACCTTTTGACTTAGAGATGCTGTTGCTAAGCATATCCCTCAAGAAAGTCAATGACAAAAAAGGCCCCTTATACACAAAAATATTTATAGCAGCACTTTTTATGGTATCAAAGAATGGGGGAGGAGGTTTTGGGGTAAATACCTATAGTTGAGAAATGAATAAACAAAATGTGATACATGAATGTAATAGAAAGTTACTATGCTATAAAAAACCACCATGATGAATACAGAAAAGCATGGAAAGACTTATATATGAAATGTGAAATAAACAGAACCAGGAAAAAATATACACAATGACTGCAACAATGTAAATGAAAAGAAAAATAATAAAATAATTGAAATGAAATATTTTGAAATTATAATGACCCAGCTCAGTTAACCACTATGAGGAAATACTTTTCTCCACTCCTTTGCAGAAAGTGAAGGTCTCCAGGGAAAAATGTGCATGATGTTGGACTTTTTAAATATGTTGCTTTAGTTTTGCTAAACTTGGTTTTTTCTTCCTCTTTTTATTCTTTATTATCAGAGATAGCTCTAGCCAGGGATAAGGGGAAGGATACTGGAGAAAATATAGGTGGCATAAAAATAAAAGGTCTCAATAAAAATATTTCAGAAAAAAAGTAGTTACATCTGATCCCAACAAGTATGGGGAAGGTCTCAGTCTTCAAAAGTTTTGTTTTTTTGTTGTTGGGTAATGGTGGTAAGGAGGTGGCTTTCCATCCAAAATAATTTAATCTCTCCTTGCTCCTTTGATGGACTTGGGTCAAGTCCTGAAAAAAACCAAACACATGAGTGAAGGAAAAGACGTCTTTGAGATAAAAAGTTTGCAAACTGGGGTCACCCACAAGTGCAGAGCACAATGGATTTCCCAACCAAGAGATTCACAAAAAGGTCCTTTGTACTTTTAGGAGAGGAAGGGGAGGAGGTAGCATGAGGTAGCAAGGCCTGGTCATGAGATGCCAGCTGCCCTCTGCAATCTGAGCAAGGAAAACCACTTCATTCTGGCTGTTGTGCCCTTCATGCCATGAATCCCAACAGAAGGGGTAAGGATGTGAGGAGCTACTTTTGGGGCATGTCTGGCTCAAGCTGGCTGGCTTGGTTTACAAGGAAGGATTCCCGGGCGGGGACTTAAGGTGTAGCTCAGCTCAACCTAATAGACATTATCTTAAGGGTAGAAATATAAGGACATTACTGGAACTCTTACATTTCTAGGATGATTGTGGCAGTCCATATTACATTTGGTATTAACAATTTTCTTGCATTTAGAAGAACTTGGAAGTTCCCAGTTTTTTCTAAAACTATCCCCTTTATCATTTCTGCCAAACTAATAGCTAGGTGATGCAGTGGATAGAGTGTCTGGCCTGGCATCAGATCACATACTGTCTCAGACACTTAATATCTGTGTGACCCTGGGCAAGTCACTTAACCCTTTTTGCCTCAGTTTCCTCATCTGTAAAATGAGCTGGAGAAGAAAATGGCAAACCGTTCCAGTATCTTTGCCAAGAAAAGGCCAAATGGGGTAATGAAGAGTTGGGCATGACTGAAACAACTGAACAACCACAATTACACAATAGTATTTTATCACATTCATATCCATCATTTGTCCAGCCAGTCCCTAGTTGATGGGCATCAGTGCTTTGCCACCTTAAAAAAAGAACAGCTATAAATATTTTTGTATGCATCACTTCTTTTCTATTTCTTTGATCTATCTAGGATTTAGGTGTAGTAGTGGTAGTACTATGTCAAAGGGCTGCAGTTTCAAATTGCTTTCTAGAATGACTGAACCAATTCATAGCTCTATCAGCAGTGCTGATAATGTTCTTGTTTTCCTGCAACCTCTCCAACATTTGTCATTTTCCTTTTCTGTTGACTTTGCTAATCTGAGGGCTGTCAGATAGAACATTAGAATTATTCTAATGTTAATTTCTCTAATTGTTAGTGGTTTGGAGCATTTTTTAATCTGGCCATTAATAGCTTGAATTTTTTCCTTTGAAAACTACCTGTTCACAACCTTGGCCATTTATATTTTGGGAAATGGCTCTTGTTCTTATAAAGTTGTATCAGTTCCTTATAGGTCTTGGAAAAAGACCTTTTATAAGAGAAACTTGCAAAGATTTTTTTCCCAGTTGCCTGTTTCCTTTTTAATCTTAGCTATATTCAACTTAGACCTCTTTTTAAAACTTAATTTTATTTTCTCAATTAATGAAAATTTTCTTTTCTACCTCTTCTCTCCCTCCTACCCCTTTCCTATTGAAGAAGAAAGAAAATAAAAATATTTTGTAACAAATATCCATAGTTAAATAAAGTGAATTCTGGCACTGGACATGTAAAAAATATCTCAGCATTCACCCTGAGTGCATCACCTTTCTATTAGGAGGTAGATCCCATGTTTCATTGAGTCCTTGGGAATCATGGTAGGTCATTGCATTGATCAGAGTTTTCCACTCCTACTTTATAAAGTCAAAGAGAATGATAAGAGAGGAATATACTCAGCTCCAGTGTTGTAGATTCTGTTCTCCTAACCCCCCTCCCCCTTTCTTTATTGCAAAAGTTCTCTTTGGATTTGTTGACTGTTCAGAGACAGGAACACTGAAGTTTTTATTTGTTCAGCGTGAGATACATGACACACTCCACCAAACTACTGATGTAGCTATGTCTCCTACAATTTGACTAGTACTGTCTATCCAATTTGTTATATTAAGTAAAGAAAAAAAATAGCTATTTATTATAGAGCAGCTGCTTAAACAAAGAGAAAAAAGTGCTTGTTAAAGAGTCTAAGTATCATTAGTTAATGGAGAGAGAGAAGGAATGTGTCCATGTTAGCATAGCTATTCATTCTAGACATATCACTTGTGAGATAAGATAAAGAAGTAAAAGTCCTTGGGCTGTTAAAGCCCTTTGCACCAATTAGATCTTTTGTACTAATTAAGGGGGGAGGAAGAGAAAAGACAGTGACATAAGGTCTTACTACAGTTCGTGCTAGGGGTCATACAGAGCAAAATGGTGAATACAAAACAACATTAAATTAGTTATGTTAACTGTTAACTCTTAAAAATCCACTTTCAACAATTCCCCTTTCCTCTAGATAAACTTTTATCTTGGACTATCTAGTTTAAAATCTAAGATTCACCATACAGCAAATCAATTGTTTTGTATAGCAAAAAGGCAGCTTAGTTCAAAGAGGATTATAATGGTTTATG